CATTGGCAGCCTAAGGAAGAGGAAGTCATGCGAAGTCAACAACATCTGTTGCTCGTCAGATGTCGTCAGGCAAGCGAAGTCTTGCTTGTTCTGGTGACCGTGGTGCTTGTCACTTCATTTCTGCGCCTCATATGATGCAACCGGTGCACCGCCACAATCTGCTGGAGGCTCCCACTCCAGCTGAACGACCAGTTTGCCATCCTCGGGCAGCATGACAATCTGCCAAAACACACAAACATGCACAATATCCACAACATATATTCTGAATATTCATGAATATCATGAATATTCTACATTATTTTGTGGTATATAACTTTAACGCTCACATCATTTCACAGCTTAGCTCCCTGTGCCAGCTCTGTCCTCTTTTCGTGTGTTGGCCCGCAGATTCCTGGCAATGAAAGAGTGCATTTCAAGAGATTCAGCTAGCTCTCAGACTGACTTCGGCAACAGCTGCAATGCAAGAGATATTTAAAGCCATTTCTTTTCTGTACCAATGTTTTAGATGTTCTTGGTAGTGCAGCTGAAAACTTCCAGCAATTTCATAGATAAAAACATGAAATTTGTAATACTTCATATGAGATCCTTTCTGCAGTCCTCGGCGCTGAAGGCAACCCCGGCAGCTTCGTTTTGACGTTGACTGCATCACTCAATGGCCCCGCCACATCTTGGCGGTTCAATGCCTCAGTTCGTCGAGGCTAAGTGAGAAGCGAGGCAAAAAGGCTTTTAAAACATGAAGAAAACATGCAGATCCGAATGCAGTGGAGGACGTGGATGGAAACAGCAAAGAAAACACAGAGTAAATACATGGTCGTGAAACCACTGAAAACGTAGTTTTTGCAATTTTTGACCAGTTCTGTTTGTTCTCACAGTGAATTTGCCTCCGGCGAAGAAGCTGTGACATGCAAACATGATCAAACAGGACATGCATCGTCGTCCGTGGGGCCGCACGGAGACGGAGTATTCGTAGTCCGTGAAGGCGAATAGATTGATGTCTTGGTACTGGCACTTCCTGAGCCAAGTCTGACACATAGAACGAAGAAATCCAGTAACAACTCTGTCGTAGCAAGTCGTACCGCTTTCAGAACATTCTGGCCCGTCCGTAGAAAGTCCCCTGTAACTGTGGATGTCAGGATGTCATTCTGGATATCTAGTCCAGTGACAAAGTGGCAGATTCTTGAAACGTCTTGAAACTTAGAATATAATTGGATATAATAAGGTTGTATCCTTGCTAAATCTCCAAGCATTCCCAGTTCTGCCGGGTAGGTCCATAGACGTCCATAGATGCCCTAGTCTGCTGATAGATCTGTCCTGAGATGCTAACGTTGTCTCAGTGGTGCCGATGACACGGCCGTTGCGATAGACGCGATAGCTCTTCACCGGAGCTTCGCCATCTCCGAGCACGGGAGGCCTCAGAGAGTCACTTGTCGACTTGTAGATATTTATACAATTTTTATACAACGTTTATACAGCGTTATATAATCAACAGACTCTGGGCTCAAACTCGAAATATCTAATATGAACTAATGGCTGAATGCCATGATCCACCAATAGAGATCTGAATCTAGAAGACGATTAGACCAAGACTCAAGGTTGGCAAAGGCTCAAGTTTTTTATGGACTTAGACATCTATTGAGGAAAATATAGAAACTCTGCCTTGGCTCTGTTGGGATGTTTTGTCTCAGGCTGAGACTCCCATATCAAACGAACTCTGGAGCCATCGATGGCCTCTGCCAGCAGAGAATCTGCAGAGAATGCAGAGACAGATTTTGGTCCGACAGTCTGAGAGACTCTGAGAGACGTGACTCAAAGTCACTGCTTCGCGCCTCTGCAGAGAGACCGGTTGGTTCTTGTGGTGGTAACGCCACAGGATCCAAATGGCCATTGGTCAAGAGGAATGTTCCTGGCCATGCCAATGCCATGCGAAATTCCATGAAATTCCATGAAATTCCTGACGAGCATCAGCACAAAACAATCCACATGGCGAAACCCCTGTCCCAGCATTTCCTCCACCCAAACACCTCAGTTGATCACCAAAGACGTGCCGGTTCTGCCTGGTGTCATCACCTCGCCAAGTAATGGATCTAATGGATCAGTAATGTAATCATCCCAGCAAGAGAAGGATCAGTCTTTCCCAAGAACGTCCAAAACCCAGTTGGGATTTTTGGATTCAAATGTCCTGTGGAGGATCCCTCAATCTGATTTTTCATATAGATTTTTTTAAATAAATATCTGCTGCTCTTCGCCGCTAGTGCCTTGTAGTTCTTTCCCCCTGGTGCCTGCCCAAAAGACATAACAAGCACGGACTGAATCACAAACTTGACCCCTTGTGTGTCAAACCACAGAAACAAGGAGGTGTCAAACTCTGACAAGCGTGAGTAACGACTGTAGCAATACTGTATCCAAACGTATCCAACTTTCTTCGCGCTCTTGCAACACCTTGGAACTTCCCACATTCAAATGTGGTTTTCACCAACTGTATCCAATGGCATTGTTCTAT